ATCCTATGACAGTTCCACGCTGGAATTCACTGAGCTCCTGAGAGCGGCCCATTCTTTCACAAATGTTTGTAAAAACAGTCTGCATGCCTAAGTGCTTGATTTTATACACCTGTGGCCAGGCCAAGTGATTAGGACACCTGATTCTGATCATTTGGATGGGTGACCGAATACTTTTGGTAATATAGTGTATATTTAAAAATTTTTGTGGTAATGAATTGCAGTCTGTTCATGTTTTGTAGGTGACACGTGTTCAAATCCGGTTGTCCTTTAGAATGTACCTATGAGTTTGGTACGCCTGCTATAAAACTTTACACCCAATCACCTTCATTTGGAAAACAAGACAGAACATTTAGTCATAATTTGGTAAGTCAAATTATGTAATTATGTATTAGTAAGCCATCGCTTACTTGAGCTTAAAGGTAACTAATAAAAAGATTTACCTTAGCTTAGTTACCTTAATTTTACCTGTCTAATGGTTTATCACTCAGCTGAGGGACGGTAACAGTAGAAACAGTAAGAAATGGCTTTACAAATACAAGAGTCCAGTCCAGCTAAATATTCAACATGACCTGGATGACAACCTTCAAAGATATATGAGAAAAACCTGTGCCAAATCAAACATGGGGACCAACGACCCGCTGTGGTGACCCCTAATGGAAGCAGCCGAAAGAACAAGATTTTTGTCTGTAATGTGTTAGATAATTAATGAGTGTACAGTTCTGGGTGCAAAAACAATTAAACCCTAATCCTACCAAAGATGTCCGGCTTGTCGTCAATGAGGACGTCTCCACTCACTATTGTCTTGTCTCTGGTCAAAATGACCTTCTCCAGGAAGTCAGGGCCCAGATGCCTCTCTACCCATGCATACTGAAAACACACACACGCACGCACACACACACACAAACACAGGTTATTATGCAAATGAACAACAAAAAAATCTGAAATTCTTTTTTTTTATCACAGCTAAGCAGAAAGGATGACTTACCTTTTCATATGGACAGTGGGCATAGTGTTTAATTGGACTGGTGCAAATGAAGACATCTGTACTGGTTGAAAAAGAGCAGGGGTACATTACAGATAAGAGTGTGAATTGTAGCAGATTTACTCTAATAATATAACTATTACACTGGACTTAATGGTAGGTGTGTGCGAGTATGCTTTCTTTCATACGCTAGAAAAGCACATCTTCTCTGAAACAAAAAGGGTATATGGAAACGATATTTGCCCTTAATAAAGTGGCATGGAAACGAGTGCAGATTGCGAAATGCACAGAATTAACTCTGCAATAGAAATCTGCATCTGCAGGTACTTATGTGAACTTCAGCTAAATCTGACTTATAATTGCTCTAAAATTAATTTTATAAACCTTTCAAAAGAGACTCTATTAATAAGGTTTGAAAACCCTGAAAAGCTATTGATAAAGCTTTTGAATATTTATTGCCAGTGAAGCATTTTTCAGGTTGCTGAAATGTTATGATTAAATTTACCAGCACTCCGAACAGATGAGAGTATGATGGTAGAGAAACAATGTCATTGATGAACAACAAAGCATTTGGATGTAATTTCCATATGCTTGCTGTATGAATAAGGGACACTGAATATAACGGAAATATGAAATATGAGTTACATCATGCTGCAGTGCATTCTGGGGCAGTGTCACTAGGAAACACAAGGAAAAGAGTGACACTGCCCCAAAATGCAAGTTTGTTATTTTGCTTTACATTAAACATTAAATGGAGTAAAGAAAAGAAATCAGAACAGCACAAAATGAACTACAATATGCAAACAATAACAAGATGATGAAAAAGAATGTTGTGACCAAGACTGTCATCCCAGGACTTATTCACAATCTGCTCATAATGAACACCCTTTCAACACACTTAGTACTGTTTGACTTTATAGTATACAGTTGTAGAAGAGTAATAATTTATCATCCTACTATCTAAGTCAGCCAGAAGAGGACGGGTTCCCTTTTGAGTCTGGTTCCTCTCAAGGTTTCTTCCTCATGTTGGCTCAGGAAATTTTTCCAAGCCACTGTCACCTCTAGCTTGCTTATTTGGGATTTAAATTTACATCTAGATTTTTGTAAAGCTGCTTTATGACAATGTCTAATGTTGAAAAGCACTATATAAATACAATTAATTTGATGCTGTGCCATCAATTCTATATTCCTTACTGCATCTTAAAGTGACTTGTCACTTCATCTTCATGTGTTAGTGATCCCATTATTTAACTAAACATTTCTCCAAGTGGGGTTCGTGAAGAAGTTTGGAACAGCAGGGGAAATCATTATAACAGTTATTATATGTATTATTCTGTTCTTATAGATATTAGGCATTTGGGCTGGTCGTATGAGTTTGATCAGTATCTCAAAAACAAGCAGCCTACAAATAATGTCAGCTTGGATCTAATGACAAACTTACTAAAAATGTGTTCTGTGAGAATAAAGTTAAAAAGCTCTATGGCTACCATAAATAACAAAATATTACTGTACACACACACACATTTTATATATATATATATATATATATATATATATATATATACACACACACACACACACACACACACACACACACACACACACATACATACATATATACATACATATATACATACACACACACACACACACACACAGAGTCAGGTCGGGAAGTATTTGGACAATGACAGTTTTTGTGATTTTGCCTTTATACACCACCACGATTTGAAATAAAACAATCAAATCACTAAACATACTGCGAAAGCAACTCAAGACTTTTTGAAGGCAAAGAGATGGAACATTCTTCAATGGCCAAGTCAGTCGCCTGATCTCAACCCAATAGAGCTGCTTTTCACTTACTGAAGACAAGACTGAAGGCAGAAAGACCCACAAACAAGCAGCAACTGAAGGTGGCTGCAGTGAAGGCCTGGCAAAGCATCTCCAGGGAGGAAACTCAGCATTTGAGTTTTGAGAACATGGGCTCCAGACTTCAGGCAGTCATT